AATTAAGACTGCACTCTTTCATAATTGCTCATGGTGTGAGGAGGAGATATTTTCTATTCCATGGAAGGAGAAAATATTTTCTCACTACAAAGCAGTTCACACAGTTGGGAGAACATTCTAACTCCTATTCTACTACATAATTTTATTTAATCAGATTTTTTTATTAGCTCCTGTTAGGGATGCAACAAGGACGAAGAGTATAAGGTTAATTTTCTTATTAGTTAGAAAATCTGTGTCATAAACTGTATGTTATTCTTGCATATCCAAGAAATAGTCATTCAATTAATTGCTTTAAAGAAGAAGACATACATTAAAATACAAACACATTCAACACATGGCTTCTCAGTTGAAAAGATTTGCATATGGCAGAAGGGTGAATGTGACATGTATGTATATGTAGATGATGGGATGGAGACAAAATATTTTCACTGAACAGAGAAGTCAAAGACTATGATTTTTTAAAAAAATATTTACTCTTCACCAGCTCTATCAGATTGCTGTCAATTACAGAATTATAATCCTCACTTCTAAAATCACGCTGTGTAATGCTATTGCTCTTACAGTCTACTTTATTTTTTAAAAAAATAAATTCAAGTAGTTTTTATATTGAAGGTCTTAAGTCCCATTTTTCATTTAAATAAGCTGTTCTTTTTAACATGTTTGTGGTTAATGTTTTGTCAGCTTTAGTATACGAAAAATGAGAGAAGTGTACTCAGCTGCCACTAGAGTCTACAGATTAAAAGCTGGAATGTAGTGGAAAAGACTCAGCAAAAATCATTCAAGGAATTAGTCTTCAGAACTCCAGCCTTGCCAACATCAGCTAGACCTATAAAAATAAATCTATTATGTAATTTTTCCCTGTCATACACAGTGTACCATCATTTGAAAAGCAATATCTGAAGTCTAATGTCTTAAAGTTTGTTTTAGGCTTTGGTAAGATTTTCTTGACGTTCCCTCTTCTGAGGAGTCAAATTCAACTCTGCGATAACTTTAGTGAATTTACACTTTCATGTAAGAGGGAAGACTTTGTCAAGCAGATCTATGGTAGAGCTTTTATTTCTGTCTTATTAATTAAGAAGACATACCTTATAGGATCATCAGTGTTAAATTGAGGGTTACAGTGTAGAATTAGCAGTTAGCCCCAGTTTGCTGTTACATATAGCTTACATGTATTCAAGAATGGAAATATTTTATTGACATCATTATATTACATTTCCTGGTCCTTGATATTGCTAAATTCTATGTATGCTACAATGACATGCTGTTTTAACTCTTTTTGATTTGTTAGAGTCTCGTTTTCATCCTTACTACATTTAGAGAGAACTTTCTTTTGTGTCCATCCATCCAGTCTTTAGTGACTTCCTTCTCTATAACCTGCTTTACATTCTTAATTTTCTCTCTCATTCATGAGCTTCTTCAAAGACTTCCTTGATAAACTGAGGCTCTACCATACCACTTTCTATCACCATACAATCCACAAGACCTTCCCTTAAATATCTTTTTAGTCCAATATCCAGTATAAAGGTGGTCATTTTAATTTCTATTTAGTTAATTTAATGTTTTTCTTTTTCTTTAACAACCAATTCCTCTCATTGTCCCCACTTCTATTAGTTTTTCTTCTCTTCAACCTCAATTAATCTCTTCAAAACAGACCAGTTAAATTAATTTTCTTTAGCTGCTGTTCTAGTCACATAATGTTTCAATAACTCTGCAGGATTTCCATATACTCTCCCGTGTTCCTTCCTAGCACTTAAACTTAACAATGGCAGTCATTCTGTAAAATCAAAAGCCTTGCATTTAGTAAAATATAGCCAATTGGCAGTCTGTACAGAAAAGGCTGAATGATAAAAAAGTGATAAAGATCTGGAGAGTGTGTACTTAGCATTGAAAAAAAAAATAATAAAAAATTAGACTCAGCTAATATTAATATACACTTGTCCTGCATATTATTTGTGTTTTTGTCTATATCCCACAGAACTGTCTTATATGAGTGCTGTCCTGGCTATATGAAGATGGATGGTACAAGAGGATGTCCTGCAGGTACAAACTTATTTTCATATGGATGAATCAGTATATGAGAAGCATTACAGCACAGGAGACTTTCAAAGGTGGCCATCTTGAGAAATTATTGCCTCTTTTTAAGAATTACTGCCTAAGAACACACAGTTTCATTTTCACACAGTCAACACAGTTAAAAATCAGCTGGCACTGAATTTGATCATGTAGTTTAGGTTGAATTTCACAGAATCACAGAATCACAGAACGTTAGGGATTGGAAGGGACCTCAAAAGATCATCTAGTCCAATCCCCCTGCCGGAGCAGGAACGCCTAGATGAGGTTACACAGGAAGGCGTCCAGGCGGGTTTTGAATGTCTCCAGAGAAGGAGACTCCACAACCTCTCTGGGCAGCCTGTTCCAGTGCTCTGTCACCCTCACTGAGAAGAAGTTTCTTCTCAAATTTAAGTGGAACCTCCTGTGTTCCAGCTTGTGCCCATTACCTCTTGTCCTATCATTGTTTGTCACCGAGAAGAGCCTGGCTCCATCCTCGTGACACTCACCCTTTAAATATTTATAAACATGAATGAGGTCTCCCCTCAGTCTCCTCTTCTGCAAACTAAAGAGACCCAGCTCCCTCAGCCGCTCCTCATAAGGGAGATGCTCCACTCCCTTGATCATCTTTGTAGCCCTATGCTGGACTCTCTCCAGCAGTTCCCTGTCCTTCTTGAACTGAGGGGCCCAGAACTGGAATTTCTCAGCTCCTTCCAGTTTCTGGGTTGAAGAGGATTCCAAAAGCTGCCAAATTCCTAAAGCTGCCGAAGAACTTTTATTCTTATTTCCATCCCACTCCAGAATGACCTAAAGCGTACCAGTGAGGTCAGAAACCCAGGACATGAGATGTGGCATATCTAAATTCTGTTTATTCCTTTTCTTAAGAAGGCTTTAATTTTATTTACTAAGAGTGTTATAGGTTTTAAATAAACCAAGAAAGAGTGAAAATTAAGACAAGAATTCTTGATTTGTGCTATTTGTGCTATTCTTTATTGCATAAATAAAATTAATTTCAGCCGGGAAGAATAATCTGACAAGGAATATATAATTTTAGATCCCTATATCTCAACTAATCTTTTTACATTTAGTAATAGAGTTAGGCGTATCTAAGGCAGAGTTCAGTTTGTTTAGATGAATTAATCTGACTTCCTATGTTGACATTAGGATGAGGTTAGTCGCACTTTAGAATTGGCTGTTCTTCTTCAAGACTATAAAAAGCCAAGAACAACTAGCTTGCATGCAGATGCTTCACTGTTAGATGCCTAGAATTGGGAGAGATTAATCTTGTTCTAATGTAGCCCTATTTTAGCTGTGAGATTATGATCATTCTTACTCTCTGGATGAATCAATACAACTCATACACTGGAAGAAGAGCAAGAGGCTTCACAAGAACAATTCTGGTACACTATACCCAAAGTAGACTGAAATTTTTGTGATTATAGATGGAATTTACTCATGCCCTTTCTCAAAGGTCCCCAGTAGATAAACTTCCATTTCAGTTGCGTTTCACACAAAACAAAACTCTTTTAAAGAAAACATTGCAATATTCACTTTTGTTTGATCTAATTTTTCAGCTCCTTAAGCAAGCAAAAAAAATAAATAACAAGCAGATGTGTTTGGATGGTTCTTGAGTATGTTGACAATGGAATTTTAGTCTAAGCAGATTGTTTTCATATTGATTTAAACAGTTTCAGAAAGGCAATACTATTGTACAACCGAAAGAAACCAAGTAGAATTGATTGTAAGAAACTGGATAACTGAAGAGTTTACAGTATTCTTATCTCATGTTTATTTTAGTTGCTCCTATTGACCATGTATATGGTACCCTTGGTATTGTGGGAGCTACCTCCACGCAGCAGTATTCTGACATATCAAAGCTGAGAGAAGAGATTGAGGGACGAGGATCATTCACTTTTTTTGCACCAAGCAATGAAGCCTGGGAGCAATTAGATTCAGTAAGTGTGTATGTTTGTGTGTGCGTGCACACGTATGTTAAAGTGTGTTTCTCTTTTAGCTATTGTTTTAGCTGCAACAGCTAGTCTGCGATAAGGTAGAATAGAAACAATATTGATATTTTAGTTACAAAAGGACATTACACAAGTTATAATAAAATAATTTGCATTTTTAACATGCATTTCTAAAGCTTGAGTCTGAATTTGTTTTCAGGAGTATTAAGTAACTACAAATGTTTCTTATTTAAGCACTGCCAATAAAAATATTAATATTGGTAGTGTTATTAGCATAGTTTTGGGATAACTGACAGGAATTCCAGCAATTGAATTATACAGAGTATAATTGTACTTTGTAGTGATTCAGTTGTCCTCCTTTTAGTCATGCTTTGAATTAAATAAATATTGAATCAAATCTCTTCCAATGACTTGTCTGTGATGAGACCTCTTGTCTTCCATTTGCGAGCAAATCAGACTAAAGCATCATTTAAGTAGAGCCAGACTGATAGTTATCAAAGTCATGTCTCCTAACAGGAAATACCCATTGTTGAATATATTGAAAGTATATGTTAAGGTACAGCAGTGTGTACATCTTTCTGACTGGAAGAATGTTTTCAAGCTTCTAGTTAATTAAATTCTTTTCTTCTTCAGGAAATACACAGAAATTTGGTTGACAATGTAAATATTGAACTGTATAATGCTCTCCATCATCACATGGTAAACAAGCGCATGTTGACAAAAGATCTTAAGAATGGCATGACTCTGGTGTCTATGTATAATGACCAGAAATTGCTTATTAACCATTATCCTAATGGGGTAAGTGTATTCTCTTTTTTTTTCCCCGATATAATTATCCAGTTATAGCCATTACTCTTTCCTTTATTTCCTTCTATAACTAACAAAATAGGTTACAGAAAGTTTAACATCTAGCAAGTCAGTTACCACTGGCACAAATAAATAAATTTTCTCTTGAAGAAATTTTATCTGCTGTGTAGACTAATCACTAAGAAAGAATTAATGAACATGTGCTGTTTGCTGTTTAGAGATCAAAGTTCAAATGAGAATGAACTTTCTTCCTAAAAGACAAAGCCAAAATATATGATCATAACAAATCTGAGAAAAATCTACTATTAGTTTTCATCTGCTTACAAAATGATATTAAATCAGATCTTTTATGTTAATTGGACTACATGGTTGAATCATTTAAGATTTTAGGGTAGACACATCCATTATTTGGCTTCAAAAAGAAATCTTTTTTACAAATGCTAGAAATCTCCTGGTAAAGTCACTCAACTGTGTTGCCTTAAATGCATCAAAATGTTTATTTACCAATAAAATCACTGTATTAACCACATATAGAAAACAAACCTGAATAATTGCAATAAGAGATAGAACATGAATATGAAATCAATGCAGCCTGAATAAATCTGCTGCTAACTTTCCAGAAGCTTGTCAGTCTTTCAAATCTCACAAGGTTTTACTTAAAATTTGTATTAAAAACTGAAAAGAAACAACAGTGAATACATAAAGTGCAGTGCATACATTGCCAATCTGTAAGAATGAGATTCCAATTATATGATCAAATTAATGCTTAATCTACTGCCTGATTTTTCAAATATAGGTTGTTACTGTTAACTGTGCCAGGATCATCCATGGCAATCAGATTGCTACCAATGGTGTTGTTCATGTCATTGATCGTGTCTTGACCGCTGTTGGAAATACCATTCAAGATTTTATTGAAGTCGAGGATGATCTTTCATCTCTAAGAGTAAGTGGACAAAAATAAAAATACTTCTCTAGTGTTTTAGTTTTAATTCTTTCTTTTTTTTTTGTGCATGATGCTTGGAAGTAAGAGGGCTTAGTTCAGTAAGAGACAGAAATAAATTAAATTAAGAACTTTGGCTAATATTGCAAATCTAGCTATATAAAAAGGCAAAGTATATTTTACATAAGGAATCTGCTTGTGCTTTTTTTGTGGATCAAATAAGACCACATCAATAGGACAGAATATGTTCCTGTACATAAAAAAGTGTGTCTTCTCTTCAAGTGCTGAGGTAATGAAATGTGTGAGTATAAGTTACACAGTGTCTGTTGCTAGACAAATAAGAATAGTTTCAAAATGGGTGATAGAAAGTGGTAAAACACCCAAATAAATTCTAGAAACTGACTGAGAAGACTTCAGCACCTCTCTCTCCACTTCCCCTCCTCAGGAAACTGTAGAGAGCAATGAAGTCACCCCTCAGCCTCCTGTTGTGATGCAAAACCTCCTACTTTTATTTAATCAACTTAGTCCTACACTTGTAATACGTTTGTTATCATTTCAAGGGCATATTATTAGCTTCAATAGACTATTGCTTTGATCTAATTTGTCAAAACCTGAATGTTCACATTTTTCAGTTATAAATTCATACCATAATAACAAAAAATTCTGCTCTTTTGTCACCTCTATCAGAATTTATGGATTATTGTGCACTAAATTAAGGAGATAACTCAGTATGTGATGGTGCAGGTTTCCCACAAAATTAATTTTTTGTTCTTTTTTCTCAATTTATTTCTTCATCTTTCTATAAGACTGATCTCAGTCTAGCATTAGTGTACCTGTGGGCACCAGGTGAAACTAGATAGATAATGTACTTCGGTAATATTTTAAATAATCTGCATTAAAAACCAGATTTCTTTTCTAGGCTGCTGCTATCACATCAGATGTCTTGGATATTCTTGGAAGGCCTGGACACTATACACTCTTTGCTCCTACTAATGAAGCTTTTGAGAGACTTCCAAGGGGAATCTTAGAAAGGATCATGGGTGACAAGGTGGCTTCTGAAGGTGTGTAACCTTTTTTTGCAAATGAGAAATACAGATGTAGGTCAGGAGGTAGAAACTACATTATCCTACTAGCTCTGAAATTAAGCACCAGTACTTTCATACATATTGGAGGAGTTATTTCTTCTGTCTATGACTTTTCCTGAAGGATTTTAGGAATCACCTAAGGATTCCTTTAAGGATTTACCTTAAGGATTCAAATTCACTGAAAACTTAGTTTCCAAAACAGTTTAAGGGAAACTGTGAAAATATAGATGCATTGATATTTCTAATAGTTCAGTTACATAGTCCCAATAGGGATTCCTGCCTCTAGAAATGCAGAGCTATCTGAATGTGGGATTTTCTCATAGCTTTCTCATTAACAGCATTTTCATACTGAAAGGACATGTTTTTGTAAAAGGCAAGTTCTGCCCTGCAAGCTGAACTGAATTCATACTATATATTCTGACAAAATATAACAGTCAGGACACTTACTCTTCCAAGAAATACAATAAAACAAAATAATAATTGTGTCAGTCTGTTATGTGAACAGTAATTTAATGGATCACTAAGAAATGGAAGGCTACATTTCTATTCTCATTTAAGAGTTCCACTGCACTAAACAAGTTCTCCATCATAGCCCGATTAAATCACTGTACAGTATCTCAATGGAAAATGATAAAAAGAGGAATCTGGACTAGTTTTAATGTGAGACAATGACTGAAAATGGAATCCTGAAAGAGTACCTTTTTGATATGGGTTTTAAATTGTTTTTTGATACGGCTTTTAAATTGTTTTTTTCAGTTTGCTTTCAGGAATTTTTGGCTGATTCTTTTGGCACCTACAGACAATAGTACACTGAAACTCACTTATATAGTATGGCATAACAACTATATATATATATATAAACATAATTTAAAATTATAATTTTTGCATCTTTATATTTTTCTATAAATATTTTTATGTCTTTGTAGATAGATCTGGGGTTGACTTTGCATAGCCTATAGTTTTTTATATTCGGAGGTCCATTTGGACCATATCATCTGCAGTCACGGAGTTATACACTCTGTTACATGCAGATCACAGCATAACCAGTATAGTTTTAATAATATAAGGGATGCCAGAGATTTTTAACCATAGACATTGTTTAAAAGGCCTATAATATCAGTTCTCATAAATAATTTTCAATAATCTGTGCATGCAAATAACCAAATATGATAGATAAGCTAGTAAACTATTAAAAATAGTATAAGTGTAATAATTTATCCCTACATGTGAATTTTATGTGTGTATATATATATATATATGAATGTATGTGTACAAACACCTATATATGAACTTCCTGCTCTTTTCTTTTCAGCTCTTGTGAAGTTCCATATTTTAAATACTCTCCAGTGCTCTGAAGCCATCATGGGTGGAGCTGTCTATGAAACCTTGGAAGGAAACACAGTTGAAGTTGGTTGTGATGGTGAAAGTCTGACTGTGAATGGAGTGAAGATGGTGAAACGCAAAGATATTGTGACAAGCAATGGTGTTATCCATCTCATTGATGAAGTGCTAATTCCTGATTCTGGTCAGTGATGTGTATGAAAAACTTCTTACACTGAAGATGTTTTCTACAGTCTTTCCTAGATTCTTTTAGATTTATTGTTATGGAAAAGCATGGACAATCCAAATCAGGACATTAAAAACTTGTGTGTTAAAATACCTGTTCTTGTTTGTTTATTTGCAGCCAAGCAAGTCATTGAGCTTGGGGGTGCTCAGCAGACTACTTTTACAGACCTGATGGCACAGCTAGGACTGGCATCTTCTCTAAGACCAGAAGGCCAATACACTCTCCTGGCACCTCTGAATGGTGCTTTCTCAGGTTAGTAGCCCTAAAAGATTATGTCCTGAATGTCAAAATAAACAAGAATATATACTACGCTGATAGTTTTCCAAATAAGTATCAATATTTTTTCTAAGTTCCAAGGAAAGTGAGCCATGGAGAAATAGAGAGATTCCTTCCTTTCAAAATGTACAACATCCAGAAAAAACAAAACAAGCCTAACTACCAGACTGCACAGCTTGTTTTTAGTGGTATCACTTGTTAATGTAAATATTACCACTAATACAAGATGCAAAATAAGCACAGACAGATTGTGGGAAAGGAAAGATATTAATGAATTGCCGGTTCCATTGATCTTTGTATTATTCTCATTAGATTTGCAACTTATTTATTCTCAAACTTTATGCAAGAAGGTCGGTATTTTTTCGTACAGTAAAGCAGAGAGAAACTGATACAAATAGACTATAAAACAGGTGTTTGCTTATTTCCAGAAGCAACCACATGGGCATCTTGCCCTATCCCCAAGGATTTGTGCATTAACTCACCACCACAGATGCAAATTTGTAAAGGTTTTAAGGTGCCTGTGCAGAAAGTCAAAGTTGTAATAAGAACTTCAGCAGTAATTCAGAAGATGGCACAGGCCTGCATATAAATAGTCTGCCATATTAGTTTAATAATTAATCAGGAATGTGCCAAAAAATGATGTGTGAATTTAAGGAATGGCATTTTGCAGAAACTATTTAACAAATAATTTTTTGTGTGCACAGATCTATCCAAGCCTTAATTCAAGCATTTCAAAGAAAGATTCAGTATTTCCATGGTCTTTTAATACAGCGTCTACAGTTAACTTTCTCTGAATGAAAATTCACTATACATATCACTATATATTAATATCTAACCTGATTTGTAGATGACACATTAAGGTTGGATCAACGTCTTCTTAAAATGATCCTGCAGAATCACATTATAAAAGTGAAAGTTGGACTCAATGAACTGTACAATGGACAAGAGCTGGAGACAATTGGAGGAAAACTGCTTAGAGTCTTTGTGTATCGCACAGTAAGTGAATGGGGCTTTCTGATAAAATGTATCCCAACTATTAAAATAATGATTCATGAAAAAAACAAAAGCTAATGCTGAATGAATCCTCCAACGTTTATCATTATGACCATCTAGTAAAAATCTTTATGCATTTAAGCTAGGAAAGAATGAAAATCTGATTTTCTGTGGGAACTTTGCTTGCATGGAAGACTTTGGGAAAAAAAAAGAGGATTCCAGATTTGGCACTCCATTAATTACAAATTTTTAAAGCTAGTTTTTAGAACTAATTAAGAAAATTCTCAAGGGAAACAAAAAAGAAATCAAGTTTGGAAATACTTGCACCATATTAACTTACTTGAGATTTTTCTACTTTTGCTTTCTCAAGCAATACCAGATTTCCTGGCAGGAACATAAAATTTGACTGTAGGAGATACAGATGAATATTATTTTTATATTAGGAGCCTTTTGGGAATTATGCATCCATCTCATTTTATCAAATATTTTTAAATATGTGTCATTGTGTGAATAGCTACACATATTTCTTTTGTTATCAGGCTGTATGTATTGAAAATTCATGCATGGTTAGAGGAAGCAAAGAAGGAAGGAACGGTTTTATTCACATCTTCAGACAGATCATCAATCCAGCCGAAAAGACATTACATGAAATGCTGAGAAATGACAAGCGTTTTAGGTTCGTAGCAGTTTTGACACCACCAAGATTTTCCTACAGAGGGTAACTGTGTATGCAGCACAGCTGGTCAGAGAAATGTTTGTGGACTTTGAGTTTTTGGATTTTAGGGGGCAGGGAGGGCAGGGAATGGGTTATTACCTCCTCCTCAAAAAAAAAAAAGGGGGAGGTGGGGAGGAAAAAGTGTTCTCCTCTAGCTGTATGCTGAAAGGGCTCCCAGACTTTGGAAGACTGCTAGAATGGTTGTTGTCAGCACAGAGGAGTCAGTATAGAATGGGAGGAGTAAGAGGACAACAGGGACTTGATATCTAGATCATACATCCAGAGCTATAAATGCAGCAGAGTCTGGAAGTTTAGTTAATGGGTAGTACAATTCCATATGAGTGCAGCATGACTGCATAGCTTTCAGTATGTATTTCTGTCAACCAACTGTATCTCAGTACTAAAGAGCAACTGCCCTTGGCATCCTCCCTTCATCTCCTTGAGCCGTGGGGATTTTATTCCATGAACTGTGCTCTGATCCAGGCAGGTAATATTTTTTTTGTTAAATCTTTTTACCTCAGTCTACTATTCTTAAGACTGGTTTTTCTAGTATTGTTTTCATGTTCTGCTGTCTTTATTCCTGGGAATTAGTGAGAGTGCTTGAAGATTGATACACAATCAGAAAAAATGAAGGATCTAAATGAAGGATCTAAATGAAGGACCAAAATACAGTCAGTCCATTTCAACAGAATGCATTTGTGTTTTGTCTGTTTGTTGTAAACAGTGTTTTCCTCAGTCTGGTGAAAGCTGCAGATTTAGATGATGTTCTGTCACGGCCTGGAGAGTGGACTCTCTTTGTTCCAACTAATGATGCCTTTAAAGGTTTGACTGATGACGATAAGGATATATTGATAAGTAAGTAACATAAGAAAAGTAGAAATATAAGCAAAGGTAAAATTGGTAGGAAAGGTGTTTAGTGTATTTCTTACACAAAAAATGTCTGATAAAACAGTTTACCTTTGGCATAGATTAGGTCAGAAGACTTTCCTAAATTAATTCATTCTTAAGCGATAGAAAAATGTCTTTGGAATAAAGCAGCCAACCTGAATATAGATTTATATTTCATTCCTTGATATATTATTCCGTGGTGTAATTACCTTTCAAGTTAAAATCTTCATTCATTTAATTAGCTTTGACTTTCATCATTCAACCTTGCTATAGATTTATTAAACTGAAGTCTCTTATATAACATTCCTTCTCTAGTTGTGACCATTGCAGTATTGACTTTCAGAGCTTTCCTTTCCTTTCTCTTCTCTTCCTCCACCCAGTAATCTCTGATATCACCTGTACTCTAAAATTTAGGTATTGAATATATATTGCTAAATGCCAATTTATGTAATTTCTTTCCATTTTATACTTTTAATCTCTGGAATTATATAGGTTTTTCATGAGATTTAACAGTATTTTTTAAATGCCATGCTTTATTTCCATAAGAGAATAAATGCACAGTGAATACTTCAAACTCTCCTGCAGAATTTCTCACTAGAGGGGTAGACTATGGCCACAGCACTATAAATATTTCTAGTTTATTTGAAAGTAATGTGAATCTGGCCTGTGGATAAGTGTGAAAGGAGTGGTTGCCTTGAATCCCACATCCAGAAACTTCTTCTCAGTGAGGGTGACAAAGCACTGGACCAGGCTGCCCAGAGAGGTTGTGGAGTCTCCTTCTCTGGAGACATTCAAAACCCACCTGGACGCCTTCCTGTGCAACCTCATCTAGGTGTTCCTGCTCCGGCAGGGGGATTGGACTAGATGATCTTTTGAGGTCCCTTCCAATCCCTAACGTTCTGTGATTCTGTGATTCTGTGATTCTGTGAAAGTCAGTCACACTTTCCATTCCTGCACTTTTCAGATCAAAGTTCGAAGATATAGAGCAAAATCCCACAAATCCTTAATGACTTCAAAGGGTCCAGCTCAGACCATTGATAAACAGCAGCTCCAGCTCTATACAGCCTTTAACTCACTAATGAGGAACTGTGAATTTGAATTCTCTCTTCAGCCACTGAAAGTCATGATAGTTGTCTAAATAATCTTCTAGTGTGGTATGTCTCTAGTGATCAACAGTAAATTAACAGATAGCCTAAATGGCTAACACAAGGCAGCTATAAAATGAAATTAAGCTTGTCTCAAGGCTGTGAACTGAAGCAATGGGATAAATATCATTGCTTTGATTATGTTGGACTATATAGTTATTTTTTTAACTAAGATTGAGTTTATCAGGACTATTATTTTGTACTTCAACTCACAACTTGACTATTTACCCAATGCCCATACCATTTTGGATTATTTCTATGACTAAGAATACAACTTTATTTCTGTTGTGCTTCTCAAGGGACTTTATGTACTAGTTTTTCCTATCATTGTGACTCAGTTTCTGCTTACTTTCCTTGGCTGATGAGATTTTAATATAATCTCCTTTTTTGCAGCAGCAGCAGAATTTCTATTTTTTGTGTGAGATTTCTTTCTGGAATTCTGTCTTGGTTTTCTTTAAAGACATTTTGTTGGTTTCTCCATAAAAAGTAAACCTTAAAACATGTATTTTTTTAAGGAATATAAAGAAATAATTTGTTTATCTGTAAGAAAGATACAAAACAAATATTATTTATAACCAGTAGAATCATTGTGGCAGAGGTAATCTGGTAGTTTGTGAAAGCAGCTTTTGAATGGCCATGTTTAGGCTTTTACGTAACTTGATGCTATATTTATAAATAGTCCAGTCACAAAATCTCAGTGCTAATTTTAATATGAAGAAAAAGAGCATTTAGTTGTACTTCAGTAGTAAAGTGAATTACAGTAATATTAGTGATCAAAGCAAGTAGATTTTTTAGAAGTGCTCTACTTAGTACCCTATCTGCTGGGCAGGTTGTGGGTATTCCTACAGCTCATCCTATAACTGAACCTCCATGGACTCAGAGCACCAGGAAGCCCTACCATGACACTAACCTGGTCTACAGAATCCGTTTCCTTTTCAAGACAGTCTTGAAAAGATTTCCTTTTTTCTTTTATTCCCAATTTGGAATGTCAAACTAAACTTTGGAAATCATCCCTAGAATAGTTGGGCGTTTTTTCCCTTTCCCATCTTCTTCAAGCTGTTCTCTGTAAGAGCAGACAAAACTAACACTCCAAATCATAGAATCATATAATGGTTTAGGTTGGAAGGGACCTTACAGCTCATCCAGTCCAACTCCCCTGCCATGGGCACGGGCACTTCCCACCAGACCAGGTTGCCCAAAGCCCTGTCCAACCTGGCTTTGGACATTTCCAGGGAGGAGACATCCACAACTTCCCTGGGCAACCTGTTCCAGTGTCTCATCACCCTCACAGTAAAGATTTTCTTCCTTATATATAGTCTAAATCTACTCTTTTCCATTTTAAAACCATTACCCCTCGGTCTGTCGTTACTTCCCCTTGTAAAAAGTCCTTTCCCAGCTTTCCTGTAGGACCCCTTCTGTTTTACCTGAAGGAAATAGTGACTTTCTCCTGTCCTAGATGGGAAAATATGTGTCTATATAAAGAGTTGCAAGTTATGTCCAGTCATCTCAGAAGGGTGTTGTCACAAGAGAATAATTACATTGTTACTGATGGTTCTCTTTAATTACAACAGTGTTAAGGCTGTAGTTTGTTTAGTAGCTTGGTGAAATTTGGTACTGCTGACTGCTTAGTGGTCCTGAAATTATGATGTTAGCAAATTATTTGTGGAGTATATTTAGGAAAAGGGCAAGAGAATGTACAGGTGCAAGCAAATAAGAGAGAATAAACAAAAAGTGGGGAAATGCTGGCCACTTTTATTTTGGAGTTCTGATAGCATCTTTCTGATTATGTTCTGAGTCCCTTTTTGTCATATAGTTGGCTTTTTCTCTTTATCATCATTTTAACAGATTCAAATTATATGTGTTTATGGTAGTTTCATTCATACCACGCTTAATTTGGGCTCAAGTCTATGTGAATTTCCAGAAAGAACTATCCATTACAATTTAATTTTTACTCTTACTTTTCTTTTGTTTTTGCATAGGAGACAAAAATGCTCTCAGGAACATTCTCCTTTACCACTTAACACAAGGAGTTTTCATTGGAAGTGGCTTTGAGCCTGGTGTGACAAACATTCTTAAAACTATCCAAGGAGGGAAAATCTACTTGAAAACAGTTAAGTGTTGAAAAAGTCTCCCTAATACAGTCTTGTAACAGGGATTTGACATTCCATCTCTGTCCACATGACAGAATGGGATGCATTTCTCTGAACATTGTACTAGGGCTTTGGGTTTTTTAATGTCCCTGATAACTTGTGTTCTTTTTTAATCCTTTACCAGGTGAATGATACTCTTCTGGTTAATGAACTGAAATCAAGAGAATCTGATCTCATGGCAACCAATGGTGTCATTCATGTTATTGATAAACTCCTATATCCAGCAGGTGAGTATTAGTTTATGGAATTTATATACACTCTTCTGAATCGGTTTACGTGTTATGTAGGTGCAATGACTTAAAAAAAGTTAATTTCTTTAAAGAGATGATTCCTATGTGGAATAAGAAACAGAAATTTTACCTCACTACTCATTTTGTGGAAGAACCTTACTTGAAACCATGGCAGCTGTTTGAAATTTTATTAAAGTCAGGTATATATGGAAGACAAGATGCCATTGGCTATCTTTTCCACTAATATGGAAGAATGTATATGTTCGAGAACACCCATGTGTGAGTGTTTGAGTGTGATTTCAGTGATCTCCTGATCACTGTAAATGAAAGAAAAATAAACACAGATATGTTTCCTCTTACATGCCTTTTTCTGTTGTCAGATCTGCCTGTTGGAAACGATCAGTTGCTCACAATCCTGAAGAAGTTGATTAAGTACATCCAAATCAAGGTATTCCTTAAATAATGATCCCTACTCATTTTTGACAAGATCTGGGAAACCATGTCCATTATCATTCATAGGAGTTTCTCTGATGCCTCTGTTTCTTCAGCAGGCAACTCTTTCAATAGCTCCCAGTTACCCAAATGCAATCATGAATGATTCACTGCACACAACTGTTACCTGGTGTTGAAAAACATGATTTCTAATTGTACAGTATTTGCATTTGGATAACTCCAATATGAACTGGCCCAAATCTGCTCTTTGGTTCAGGTACACTTTATCATTCCAGCCAAATAAATATCTTCTAAATACTTGAGGCAATCCCTTTTTGAAAGAACTATTGAGTGGCTAAATTGCTATGTCATTAAACCCACCAGCCTTAATATCCTGTGAGGAAAAATAAGCATCTTTTCTATCTCAATCTCAGCTATCCTCTATTCTCACAGAATCACAGAATCACAAAATCACAGA